TAGTGCGGTGGACTTCACGCGTGAGGTGGTGCTGGGGCGTCCCTACGGTGCAGCATGTCTGGTGGAGGTCTTCCACTTCCTCTGCTCGCTGCTCACTCTCGACGAGAACCTCGTTGCCTCGCCTCGCGCTGCCAGTCCGCGCACCCCGCGCTCCTATGCATGGGCGCACGCACATGAGGACATGCCTCTGTTCGCCCTGCAGCTCATCAGCACGGCACTGGACCTGACAGGCGAGCATGTGGCGCTGCACCCGCGCCTGCTCGCGCTGGTCTCCGACGACCTCTTCCGCTCCTTCTTCCTGCTCGCAGCCTCGCCCAACCCGCTTGTCTTTCCACTCATCTGCAGCATTGTGCTGCGCCTCTTCCTGTGCCTGCGCCGCCACCTCAAGCTGCAGCTCGAGGCGTTCTTCCTTGTTGTGCTGGCACGCGCTGCACAGGAGCGCTATGCGGTGTCGTTCCAGCAGCAGGAGGCGGCGCTGGAGGCGCTGCTGGACTTCTGCCGGCTGCCGGAGTTTGCAGTGGAGCTGTACAGCAACTACGACTGTGACATCAGCCGCAGCAACCTGCTGGAGGACCTGGGCGGGCTGCTCTCCAAGAGCGCCTTCCCTGTGGCATCGCCACTGACGTCGCTGCACGTGCTGGCGCTGGACGGGCTGCTGGAGATGCTGCGCCACATGGCCCACCGCGTTGACTCCGGCCCCGCGCCCAAACCCCCTGCGCCTCCCAGCTATGGCAGCGGGCGGCAGGCTGATGGGGTGGAGTTCTGGACGTGCCAGTGGGGCCCTCCTCCGCCCACCACTGCAGCAGCTGCCGCTGGGTGGGGTGATAAAGGAGATGCTGGGCCGGGCAAGCAGCAGGGGGGCGAGACAGGCGAAGGAGGGGGCGAAGGGGCAGGGGCGAGGAGCAGTGCACGCGGCGAGGTTGGTGGGTGGGGTGTGTGGGAGGCGGAGGGCGACTGGGGCCGGTGGGTGGAGTTTGTGAGGGCAAGGAAGCACGTGAAGCGACGGCTGCTGCAGGGCGCGGAGCATTTCAATAGGGATCCAGCGAGGGGGCTGCAGTATCTGCAGGCGGCAAAGCTGCTGCCAGAGGAGCTGGATGCGCGCAATGTGGCATGCTTCTTCCGCTACACGCCCGGGCTGAGCAAGCGAGTGTTAGGTGACTATCTGGGCGACCATGAGCCGTTCAAGGTGGCGGTGCTGCACGAGTTCGCGCGCCTCTTTGACTTCTCAGGCCTTGCCCTGGACGGCGCCCTGCGCACCTTCCTTGAGAGCTTCCGCCTGCCCGGGGAGGCGCAGAAGATTGCTCGCGTGCTGGAGGCGTTTGCTGCTCGCTACTACGAGCAGTGCCCCGACGTGCTGGCGAGCCGTGATGCGGCGTACATCCTGTCGTACTCGGTGATCATGCTGAACACGGACCAGCACAACGGGCAGGTGCGGCACAAGATGACGGAGGAGGAGTTCATCCGCAACAACCGCATGATCAACGACGGCACCGACCTGCCAAGGGACATGCTCACGGAGCTCTACCACTCCATTGCCAGGGATGAGATCCGCGTCTCCGCTGACAGCCTTGCAGGGGGTGGGTCGGGGGCGGGCAGTGGAGCAGCAGGCGAGATGAGCTACAGCCGGTGGATGGACATAGTGCGGCGGGCGCCGTCGTGCCTGGCGTACGTGCCGTGTGGGGACTCACGGCCGCTGCTGGACCATGACATCTTCGCTGCCATCTCAGGGCCTGCCATCGCCGCCATGAGCGTGGTGTACGACCACAGCGACTCCCCCGACGTGCTGCGGCAGTGCCTGCAGGGCTTCATGGACGCCGCCAAGATCTGTGCCGCGCACTGCATGCGCGATGCACTGGATGACCTCGTTGTCTCGCTCTGCAAGTTCACCACACTGCTCAACCCTGCAGGGGGGGCGGGGGCCGCAGGGGGGCAAGCAGGGCCAGGGGGGTATGAAGGAGGGGGGATGGAGGAGGAGGAGGCAGCGTTGGCGTTTGCAGAGGATGCCAAGGCGACGATGGCGGCGGCGGCGGTGTTCACGGTGGCGAACCGGTACGGCGACTACATCCGCACGGGGTGGCGCAACGTGCTGGACTGCGTGCTGCGCCTGCACAAGCTGGGGCTGCTGCCCGTGCGCGTGCTGCTGGCCGCGCATGACGGCGCGGGCCAGGACGAGCTGGTGAAGCTGCCATTCACGGGGGACGCCTCCTCCGCCACCTCCACGCGTGCCGCCATGCAGCACAGGGACGGTGATGGGGCTGGCGGCAAATCAGGGGGCAGCGGCGGCAGTGGATGGGGTCGAGGAGGGGGACTCATGCTTCGGTTCAGCCAGCTGTTCCTGCTGGACTCGGAGGAGGAGCAGCAGCCATCGCAGCAGCTGCTGGAGGCACAGCGGCAGGTGCTGCGCGCCATGGAGGAGTGCCGCATTGAGGCCATCTTTGCCGACAGCAAGTTCCTCCAGGCTGACTCCCTGCTGCACCTCGCCAAGGCTCTCATCTGGGCTGCCTCCTCCGGCAGGCCGCTGCGCGGGGGCAGTGGTGTCGTGGGGGCGAGCACGGCGGACGAGGAAGACACGGCAGTGTTCTGCCTGAGCCTGCTGGTGGCGGTGACGCTGACCAACCGTGACCGCATTCTGCTGCTGTGGCCCGCCGTGGCAGACCACCTGGCGGCCGTGGTGGAGACGGCCACAGCGCCCACGCCACTGGTGGAGAAGGCTGTGTTTGGGCTGCTGCGCCTGTGCCGCCGCCTCGTGCCGTACAAGGAGGACGTGGCGGACGAGCTGCTGCGGTCGCTGCACCTCATCCTGCGCCTGGATGCGCGCCTGGCGGACGTGCTGTGTGAGCGCATCACCAAGGAGCTGCTCCTGCTCGTGCAGGCTCATGCTGCAGCCGCCGCTGCAGCCACAGCAGCTGCCACGGCAACGGCTGCCGGTTTTCCCAGCAGTTTCCCTGCGTCCCCAGGCTCGCTGTCGCGGGAATCCGGTCACATCCGGTCGGCCGCTGCGTGGCGCACGCTGTGCTCGCTGCTGGCCGTGGCAGCCAGGCACCCAGATGCGGCAGCAGCGGGCTTTGAGGCGCTGCGCTTCGCCATGGACGATGGCAGCACGGTGCCCTCACTGCAGCCCACCGTGTCGTCCCTGCACCGCACCATGTCTCGTGCACGCAGCGAGGATGGCGTGCGGTCTGTGCTGCCCGCCAGCCTGCTGCCATGCCTGGATGCGGCAGTGGAGTTCGTGGAGTCAAGGGCAGGCGGGCCAGAGCGGTCGGTGAAGGCGCTGGAGCTGCTGCTGGGGCTGCTGCGCCCGCTGCAGCTGTGCATGGCAGAGGTCATGGCGCAAGAGGTGGTGGAGGTGGGTGAGGGGGGCGAGGAGGCGAGGCAGGCGCAGTTGAAGGAGGTGTGGGACGCATGGAGCAAGCTGGCATCCGTGGTGGCGCGGACAGGCACGGAGCAGAGGGAGGCAGTGCGCAATGCTGCCATTGCGGGCACGCAGCAAGTGGTGATGGGGGCAGCTGAGCTGGGTGTGCCTGTGCGCATGCGAGTGCGATGTGTGGAGGAGGTGGTGCTGCCGCTGCTGGATGGGCTGCTGGACACAGCGACGAGGGAGAAGCCAAGGGAGTTCAAGGGCATGGAGGGCTCACTCATTCTTGCACTCAAGCTGCTCACCTGCGCCTTCCTCTCTCTGCTGCCTCACCTCCTACCCACGCCTCCATCCACTGCACCCCCTCATCCCACTACGTCCTCTGACAGCAATCCTGTTTCGCCCGCGCCCTCTGCGTCCTCTCACACGGCCCACACGGCTGTGGGGCTGCGGCAGCTGTGGTTGGCAGTGCTGCAGCGCCTGGAGCGGTGCAGCAAGCACAAGGTGAGGGCGGCTCTGGGAGGGGGGGAGGCGCTGCAGCGAGAGGTGGGGGAGGCAGTGCGGGGGCTCCTGCAGAGCATGGTCCAGCACAGGGTGCTGCTGCCCCCTGCCGTCCCACCTGCCAGGCCTGCTGGCAGTGGTGGTGACGAGCGGGAGAGAGATGGCGAAGGAGCAAGCAGAGGCGAGGGGACAGGTGCAGGTGAGGCGAAGAATGAAGCGGAGAGTCTGTGGGAAGTGACTTGGCGTGCCGTTGGGGTGATTGCCCCTGGAGTTACAGTGGACGAGATGCTTCCCGTGGACACAAGGGGTCCTAGCACACAGAGCAAGGAAGGGCAAGAAGTTGGCGTGGGGGAAGGGGACTACGTGCTGGTGGGTAAGGAGGACGGGGATTCACAGCAGTAGTGGCCACCCTTTGACAAAGCTTGAGGTAGGGGTAGCGTTGCTTGCATGTGGGGTACAGGGAGGGGAAAGGGTGGTTGGTTGTGATGATTCTTCCAAAGGTGCGAGCACCACGTTTCCTGTTGAAACAGAACGTTCAATGCAGATGCAGGTAGTCACCATGATGTATGCATGCCTAGCAACCGTTTTTATAACTCAAAGTTCAGTGCAGCGATTGTATTTCAATTGGGGCTGTGGGCGGATACCGTGGTAATGTGATTGCTAACTATTGAAGAGCATTTATGTACTTGATTTGTCTGCACACTTCAGGGGAAGTTATATAATGGGGACAACGATCAAAGCAGGTTTGGTTGTTGTACAGTACCGTACGTGTATAGTCGGTGTGCAAAATCGTTTACTTAGTAGGATGCTTGGCCACAACGCTTGCTCACAGCCAAAGTGACAAGCCTTCAGTAGGGAAGATAGCCTAAATCTGTGTACCACTGGTGGTGGATGTCAGCATATGGCTGATGAATTCGCATGCTATGTGAAGGTGGCTACAAAACCTGGAGTGGTAGCACCAAAGAGCAGCAGTGAAAGGTATTCCAATGACCCCGTCACCACACCTGCTTCGAATCGGACTCCACTAGTGGGGTCTCCAAGTGAGCTGGTGACAGCAGCGACATGCAGTGGCTTTCCCTCATCATAGCTGCTACTCCACAGGGTGGTGACTCGTGAGGAGGATGGTATGGAAGCAGGTGCGCTGTCATTTGCGCCCCTTGACCTTGGGCATGGCGTACTGCCTCTGTGCCGCCACAGACACGATCTGCAGCATGGGCCACACGCGCACCGCTCCTTGGTGCCCCTCCCTGCGCTGCTCCGCTGCACGCGCGTGCGTCAGCTGCTGCAGCTGCGCCAGCGACGGCAGCACACACGCTGTGAGGCGGCCCCCGTACACACAACCCGTGTCAAGCCCTGTCGCCCAGGGAGTCCTGCACACAGCACAGACGGGCAGAAAGAATCACAACAGGAAGTTGCTGTGCAAGGTGAACAGCACGGCAACCCATTCGCTCTTCCAAGAGTTTACACTCTTCGCTGCTACTCACTCACACCGGAACATGCTGTTTGCTTCCCTGCAGCTTGGAAGGAAGAGCAGCGACTCACCTTTGCAGGCCCCTGACAGCATCGTGGCCGAACACCACGTGCTCCCTGCCACGCCACTCGTGGCTCCACAGCACCGCCCCCTCATCAGCAGCCTTGCACGCCTCCCACCCCCACCCCCGGGCCCAACCATTCGCCTCCTCCCCCTCACCACTGCTGCTGTCCCCCCCAGACACAAGCCAGTCGTGTGCGTCCCACTCACTCAGACTCGAATCCATGCCCCCCTGACATGGCGCCCCCCAATTCGCCATGCGCCACCGCCACCCATGGCCCCCCTCACTGCTGCTCTCACTCTCACTGCCACTGCTCCAGCTGCTGCTGCTACTGCCGCTGCTGCCAGCACAGTCGAGGAGTGCAGAGAGGGTGCGTGCTGTGGGCTCCCAAGGAGCGGTGTGCTGGGGAATGGGAGCGAGAGGCACGCGGCGGATGAAGCGAAGGTTGAGCAGATCGGAGAGGTGCTGGCGGTGCAGAGATACGCCAGGCACAAGGCCCGCGTGCACCTGCACAGCATACAGCACGGCGGCACACAACTCAATCACTAGCCGAACGCTGTGAGCGGATGGCTTGGAGAGAAAAACAGAGCGGTGGCAATGTACGATAGTGTAATACATCACATAGCAGGTCGTCAATTCCATGCCCGCTGCATCACCGTAGCTGTGCTGTTATGACTGGTGCAATGAGCGGGGATGGCAAGTTGTGGAAAGAACATACAACGAGGCAGTTGTGGGAGGGAATGCGAATGGAGAAGGGCAGCGAGAGGAGCCATTCCAGATCCGTGGACGACAGGTCACTGGGCCACTTGCTGTTGCGCCACCGCTTCGACTTGCCTGCCATGGCGTGGAATGGCAAGGCATGCAGAGGGGACTCAGAACACTACATTGCGAGGACAATAACAGCCATGTATGGGCCACGTTTCGTGAAAGCTGTTGTTGAAATGCTGGTCAAGTTAGCAGACACCAAGCATGGGCGAGGGAATGCTACGAGGGCGTGGTGTGCAAGGAGGGTGGCATGCGGCAAGTGCGGTGCGAGTGCGCATCCCACCAGTGGCGGCAGCAGCAGCAACAGCGAGTGCCTTGTCATCGTGGTTGCCTCTCACTGCCACTGCCCCCATCCTGCGCGCCATGCGCAGCACTGCATGCGAGTCCGGCCCCTGTGGCAGCACGCACACACACACAGGGCGGAAGCGACAGGGCAGCAAGGGAGTGGAGAGGAGTGACATGGAGGGCGGGAGGGGGGTGAAGGGCTGCAGGCCCAACAGGAAGATCAAGGCGCACGGCAGCTCACCCACATGGCACATACAGGAAAACAACGATTGGGGCAGCAACTGTGCAGCACGGAGGAAGAATGGGTGGAGTGGGTTGGCGTGGCGGCTGACCTTGTTGACCATGTCCCCCACCAGTATGACCACGTCCCCGTCCTTGCGCTCACAGCGCTCCATCAATGCCTCCAACTCCGCATGGCACCCTGCTCACATGCACACACGCATGCATGGGGTTGTGTGGAGCTGCATCACATGCTGCACTCACGCACAAGACATGCTGCCATCCCACGAGCCACGTGCTGCCATCCCATGAGCCACGTGCTGCCATCCCATGAGCCACGTGCTGCCATCCCATGAGCCACGTGCTGCTATCCCATGAGGCACGTGCTGCCATCCCATGAGGCACGTGCTGCCATCCCATGAGGCACGTGCTGCCATCCCATGAGCCACGTGCTGCCATCCCATGAGCCACGTGCTGCCATCCCATGAGGCACGTGCTGCCATCCCATGAGGCACGTGCTGCCATCCCATGAGGCACGTGCTGCCATCCCAAGAGCCACTACAACAGCAGAGGAACAGCGATGATCAATGCGGCAAGAGCAGCATGCGGCGCCCACTCCCTGTACATGCCGTGTGCACACTCGTCTGCTCACCCTGCCGCCTCTTTACGTTCTCCGCCACCAGCCCAGCTAATGCCCTGCAGGCAGCAACGCACCGTGCACATCGCCCACAATGATGATGCGCCCATGCGGGTCCATGCGCTGCGCGTCAATGCGCGCATGAATCGTCTCCGGCAGCGGCCCCAAAACCCCGTCCGCTAAACCTTCGCGTTGCCCGCCCGCCACTCGTGCGCTACCCCACGCGCCTGCGCCTGCCGCCAGCGCGCTCCTTCTCCCAACCGCGCCGACCTCGCACTGCCACTCGCCGTCCCCTCGCCCGCATTGCTCCGCTCCCCGCCACTCGACGATCCGCCCTCCACCGCGCAGCTGTCGCCGTGCCCCCTCGTCCTTCTCCCCCCACGCAAGGGGCGACAGCAGCGCAGCGCTCCGGAGGGCAGCGGGCGCGTAGTCGAGCGGGGAGGTACGCGCGCGCGCAGTGCATGCAGTTGCGACGGAAGCGGAAGACGAGCAAGGAGATGCGTTAGGGGGAGGTACGGGTGGGCAGTACGAGGTGGGCCGACCGGCAGCAGAGGGAAGACGCCGTGAGTGGGTGTCCAAGGCCACTGCGGCAGGGCGACACGTGGCGGCGGCGAGCTTGCGGATGGGAGGCGACGCGAGCTTGGACATGACTACAGGGTATGGGCATGCGTAAGAGGTGGAAGAGGTTGATCATGCTCCAACGGATCAGCGGAGTGATGTGGGAAATGGGCCTCCTCTACCCCACGTACTTGTGTTTGTGCCTGCCTGAACTGCAACAATCATTTTATTCTTGAAATGTTTCGTACTTCTGTGAACCCATCCCCCAAGATAGCTACTCGTGTATCTATTACAATGATTTCCAGAATCAGTCTGTATCGAGAATAATTCACTATGCACTTCAATCCCCCTATGAAGGGCCAAGAAGGGCTATCATTTGCATGTCTAGGTTATTACAAGGGAGCGGTGTTTTGCAGAGCTCTTAGCGCCCGTGCGATCGTGCGGCGTCGCCACTGCTAAACGGCCTCAGCGTGCCCCTCCGTCGCACACGGCCCTGTCAATGGCGGCGTTTGACGACAAGGCGGCTCCGCGTCGCTTGCCCGTCGCGCTCATGGTCGCCGCTTCCGCCAGCATCCTCGCGGCCGCGCACCTCTTGCGCTCTCTGCGCCGCAACAACGGTGAGCCTCGCCTGTGGCGCTGATTTTTCGTGACTCGCGCTGACAGCGCGCCTGCTGCGTGCGCCTCGTTCATTCGCGCTCTCCTCATCCGCTGTGCACTCCTTGCCACCCATGACCCCGCGCCCCTCCCTCCTCCACTGGAGTGGCACTCGCCCTTCTCCGTCACTCCCTTTCAGCCTGCCGTTCAGAAAACGTATGAGCGCCACTTATTGCGCTTGTTGCTTGCTGGAACAACGTTTCCCCCGGCATGCCGTGGCGGCGGGCGTGCTTGCCCCTCCCAGCAGTGCCTCGACGGCAGCCCCGCGCGCCCCACCGTAGCAGGGTGACGGGCCGACCGGCCACGGAGGAGGAGCGGCGGCAGCAGCGAGCTGCGGCGGCAGAGGCGCGGCTGGCAGTGGTGGGCCTGGCAACAGGCGGTGCGAGCGGCTGTGGTGGCGCGCGCAGTGGAGGGCTGGAGAACGGGATGGGCGCTGAAGCTGCAGCAGCAGGCTCAAGGGGAGACAGGGGAGGGGGCAGTGCGGACATGGAGCAGGGGAGCCCAATGGGTGTGGCCGCAGGCGCAGCAGGGGGGTCAGTGGCTGGCGGGGTGGGCGGGCAGGCTGTGCGGGGCGAGGCGGTGGGGCTGGGTGGTTGGCGGGATCCGCGGCTGACTCCATACGGCCAAGCGCTGCTGCTCACGAAAGAGGTCAGACACGTGGCAGCGACACACCAGAAGCACAACGCTGTGATTGGAGGCCAAACGCATAAATGAAACAGGGTGCTTTTTTGAAGCGTCCTTACGTGCTTATGATGAACGCACGCATGGGGATGACCCTTCGACCCAGCATTTTACTGTGTTCTTACTGACCCACAGTATCGCAATGGTGTGATATTGATGTGAAATTTGCATGTGATGTGGTGTGGTGTGGTGTGGTGCGGTGTGGTGTGGTGTGTGAAGATAGATGAACTGGAGGAGGATGTGAAAGCATGGCGGGCAACAAGGCCACGTACAACCCAGAGCACTGCAGCAGCCACAACCTCTCAGGCATCTGTATGTTCCACTGCTGACTTGCACATGGCCACTGCAGGCAGATGTGACTGCACGTGCAGGCCCTGTCATGGAATGCCCAGATGCACACGGTGCACATGCTTCGATGAATGCATCCAGCGCTCACACTTGCCGCTTTCTAGTTTCCTCACACCACTCTTTCCGCACCCATCCAGAGTCTGGTTGAAGGCTCGGGATCAGCACAAGTTGAATGCACAGGGGTGCAGAGTCATGACAGCAATGCAGAGCGAGAAGAGGTTGGGGAGACAGAGAGAGAGAAGCTGCTGACGAGAATGTCTCGGGCAGCAATGGCTTTGGCAAGCATCGAGGTGAGACGATACTTGTCATGTTTGAAGCGTGGTACCCCTCAGCCTTCCTTGCTCCATGGAGTTTCAGCAATTTTAGTGTTACTAAAATAGTTCCACATCCCAACTTAATGCATGATGATGCGTATGATGTGGTCTTTTGTATCCGTCCTTTGTAAATGCACTCTGCAGCCCGACATCAGTGTTGCTCCTATTCGACGTGAGCAGAATGCTCGTCTTCTTCGACTAAATGAGGTATTCCCAAACCGACTTGACCCTCCCTCTCGTTCTGTACAGAATGGCGTTTAACTTTAATTCAGCACTTTCTTTTATGCCCTGCAAAACTTGTGCACGTTCCTAGTGGCTATCCTTGTGCTCATGTCTTTACGGTGGCGTGATTCCATGTGTGGCCTTGTGTTTCACCCCTTAGATGCTGGTCAAAGCAACAAATTTGATGTAAGCTTGGCGTCGTCTGCACTGCATATGCGCACTATGCTGATATGTACATGAGAACCAGGGGCTATTTTTGGTTTCATAGCACATTTAAGGATCAGGGTGCCAGGGCGACAGCACCCTGACTGCTAGGGTGAAGTTTCCTCCACCCTGTCCACAGAAGGGTAAAAGTTTTTGCACACTGTTCGTGACAGGGTGGTTTAAGGAAGTTTGTCCAGTTACCCTATTTCATGTTTGGCCATACTGTGCCTTCCATTAGATGACAATGTTCTACAACTACAACTACACATATTGATATATTACTAACTACATAGCAAGCTAGATGCCCTACTCTACGAACTGGGGCTGTGCCCCCCCTACCTAATGTCTACAAATTCCTGCTCTCCTGGAATCACGCCCGAGAAGTCCCTAACGGGGCGCCTGTTCTTCTCTCCCCGAAAAACAGCGACAACATCAAACCAGTCCACCTCGTAGTCCAAAAGAGAGCAGCGCATGAGGGCTCCAAGGCTTGCATCACCAATGGTGCCTCGTCCCCACGTCTTAATGAGGTTTTGCTTTGAGAATCCCCTCTCGCACTCAACAGTGCTGAGAGGAAGAACTGCCACTGCCTGCCACAGCCTCATGATGTTGGGGAATGAACGACGCCAGGTGTCTTCATCACGAAGGGTGTTGGAGAGCGCTTGGTTGAAGTCTTCATTGTGGTGCTGCGAATGCATCGTTGAAGTGAAGATCCATAGCTCCGTCATTGCCTTGTTGAGATCGAATCCTACAGGACATGCACACAGGCAATCCAAAAACATCAATCCATAGGGATGAGATGGTATGGGACAGCGGAGAGAAAAGTTAAATAAGGAAAGATTCATGCAGGGCTAACTAGGCGTGCCGCTGGCGCCAAAACAACCACATCCCTGCAGTTATAGGAAAGCATAACACACAGAAACAGTTTGAATGTTAACAAACCAGGGAGTTTCCCGTGGAAGAGTGCAGCCAGCTGCTTCAGCCACTTTTTGAATGCTGCCATGCGCTTGTCGTCGTCAGCCAGGTAGGTCTGGGACAGGAAGAGCTTGGTGCCTTCCAGGTTCTGCAAGTCCGCCATCCGCCACGCCAGCTCACTGTTGACCTCACTCGCGAACTGCACAGCAAGGGCGTAGCAAGCCTCCAAGTCGCCAGCAGTTTTGGCGCCAGGAAGCTTCCTCTCATGGAGGATGAACTCTTCCTTAGCAGGGTTCCCGTCAGCATCCACGCCATCTACATGCATCTTGCGCTTGTCGACTGGACCGTGCTTCTTCAAGAAGTCCGGTAGATGCATCTTGTCTCCGTGCCCGAACACATGGCCTTGTGGCACATTGATGTACCGCTGACTGATGCGCATGCGAGTTTGCACCACGAGGTGCGCAACCAGGGTCACGTCCACCTATGGTTGGGGAGCAGAGATGGAAACCGAAGGAGGACATGTTAATACCAGAAATTCAAATCACACACATCGGACACCACGGATTAGGCCAGACACAAGGCGTTTTGGAGATTTCTCACCTGGCGCACTTGGAACCTTGTGTTCAAGTGGTTGAGCTCGGTGAGGATGTCCGCGAGAAATCGAAGAAGAAACTGGAATTTGAAGGAAGTTACCACCTCCCACAAAGTGGCGGAGTACTCCTTCACTGCGAGCATGGCGGCTGGCAACACTTCAAGTAGCCGATTGATGGCTTCGCCCCTCGCGAGCCATCTGACGTCATGAATCCCCTGCACCTCCAGGTTCGTCTGACAGAAGATGAGCTGCAGCTGCATGAAGCGCTGATTCTTCACGTGACTCCTGCTGAGGATGTCCGCCACTTCGCGGACAACGTCGTCGACGATGTTGAGCTCGGGCACTTGAAGCGCTGCTTCCTTGGCTGCCAAAGCCTCCCTGCGACAGAGCGGTGCATCATGTTAGGATTGATCTACAAACAGTGACGCAATGTGAACTATCGTGGATGCAAAATGAAATGGCGCTCACCGATGGGCGATGCAGTGAGTGGACGCGAAATGTTCAATCTCTGTCCTCAGGCGGACACAAACACCAGTCTGTGTACCGACCATGACGGAAGCGCCGTCAGTGGCGATCGCGACGATCTTCTGCAGGTCGATGCCGACCTGTCTCAAGTACTGCAACAGCACAGAGGTAAGCGACGCAGCGTCAGTGCGTTCCACAGAAAGGAGAGTGACAAACTCAGTGACGACCTCCGTTTCTTTGAAGAATGTGGCGTAAAGAATCATGTGCTTCCCGTGGACACGATCGGTGCTCTCGTCAATGCTTATCTCGAGGCTCGGCAAAGCCTGGATGTGCTGAAGTTGACGCTCAAGCAGATGGGTAGAGATGGCGCTAAGGTGTTGCTTGAATCCGTACCTGCAAGCCATCACACAAGGGAGGTGTTAGGCCAAAGTGTCCATGTGCAATTGCATCAAAAGAAAAGGTTTTCGCGGAAACAACAATTGTACTCACTCTGTGTAGTACGATCCGTACCCTCCGTTTGGAGGGAGATCGGGAAGGCCCTCCTTGGCGAGGAACCAGCAGAGTGGAACGAAAAGCGCCATCGGTGCATCTTTCTTGCAGACGAAATGGGCGATGTGGAGACATCGTATGAGATGCCGTGTCGAAGAATCCGTTGCCTGCCACCGAGAGAGAGTCACCTGCCGCGCCTTAGCAGCTTCAGCCTCGCTTTCTGCCTTCAGCGCCGCCTTGTGAGCCGTGCTGACGATGTGTGCACGCATGCTCCCAAGCTGCAAATCTCTACCACCCTCACCTCGGCTTCCGTAGCTCGTGTTAGCGTTAGGATCCCCAAATAGCACACAGACCGAGCATTTGACAGACGGCCTACCGTTTTTCATGCGGTGAAGCCGCAGCCACGAGAACCGCTTCGACCAGTCGGTGTCGAACCGGTGCTTCCTTTGCATCCGCGTCCGAAGTTTTCACGGCTGGGGAGGATGGTGGTGGTGGAGCGCTTCGCGGAACATCCGGTTTCCGAGGTGGTGGAGCGCCCCACAAGCGCTGCTGGGTGTATGTCGTCCGCTTCCTCTTGGCAGGTTCATCGGGGGAGGTTCGTGGTGTGCAGACAGATGGATTGGAAGAGCCTTCACCGCCATCTGGTACAAGGATAACGGTCGGATGCTCTTGGAAAGCGGTGGGGGAACAGGGAGGCTCAAACGGGTAAACCACTCGTTCAGGAATAACGGGCGATGAACCGCCCATTTCAGAAGTAACAGGCGGCGGCTGATCAACAGGTGGAGCTCGTCGACCAATACCGAGCACACTCAGGCCATTCAGCTGGCCTGATAGCGCGTCTTCGTCATCCTCGTCGCGAGGCATCCTAAGTGTGCTGAGAAACACCAGACAGAGGTGAGGAACAAATACGAACCGGATGGGATGAATGTCAGTGAATAGCTCAGTGCTTTGCTAGAATAGAAAAGAAACCCCTCACCATTCTAAGCGTACACAGCGTCTATGACCATCAGGCAATAGATACATCCATCCACGTCCAAGTGCAGGGCGCTCCGTCCCTACACGACGGGGCAACCACCACAGATGCAATGCGCTGTCAAGAGAAAACACAAGTGCTGGCAGCCAAAGCTGCCGCGAGGACGAATAGCAATGACAGCAAGAAAAAACAAAACCACCCACCTTGACAGCACTGACTGTCGGTGGGCGGAATGCTTTGTTCCTGGTACAGCAAGGCAGATTCCTACAGTTACGTATGAAACAGGCGCGAGAATTCGGTAAAAGGGTAATCTTGACCTGACCCTGACTGGTACGGGTACAAAAACACGCACCCTGCTGTACAAAGGGTCATATGATTGCGACACTTTTTGGGGAAGGGTTGCAATATGGCTGGCCTTACAAAATCAGGGTACAATGAAAAAAACGCCTCACAGAAAGGGGAATCAGGGCAAAATACCCTTGAAAAATAGCCCCTGATGAGAACCTCCTTCAGATTATCTTGTAAACCTCCAGACTAACAACAATGCATTGGAAATGGTTGGGTAGACTCAAGCCTTAAGATGCCACAGATGCATCCATTAACCCCCCCCAGCTCAAGTAGATAGATCAGCGTCCTCACCACAAAATAAGGGTACATTCCGGTGAAGACATGTCTTCAAATTATGCATCACAAACGTTTGTGACATGCAATGCAAACACTCAAAATGTCCAGAGTCTCAAACGCGAACCGTTTAAATGTGACTCGTGGTGTATTCTACATTGGCTAGTGTGATTCATGAAACTCTCAAGAACCTAAACAAGTGCAACCACGTGACCCGGCGGAAGAAAAACGCTCGGAACGAGCGCTTCCAGCCTCAAAACGCGGAAGGATCTGCACATGCGCAAGAAATGCAGCGGACGCTCTTCATTCGCGAGCGCCGATGACCGATGATGCTTGCAACCCTCCCACGCCCTTGCTGGCTTGGTAATAGGTCCAAACAAGCGCAGCCACGTGACCCGGCGGAAGAAAAATGCTCGGAACGAGCGCTTCCAGCCCCAAAACGCAGAAGGATCCGCACATGTGCAGGAAGTGCAGCGGGCGCTCTTCATTCGCGAGCGCCGATAACCGATGATGCTCGCAACCCTCCCACGCCCTTGCAGGCTTGGAAATAGGCCTAGACAAGCACAGCCACGTGACCCGGCGGAAGAAAAACGCTCGGAACGAGCAATTTCAGCCCCAAAACGCGGAAGGATCCGCATGCGGGAGTGGACTACGGAGGATGACCAGGGTTGTGTAGGTGATCGCAGCGCTCTACCAGTAGCATTCTTACTACTTGTTTGTGTACATAGAGAAGTTTGGCAAGAATTCCACTAAGGAAATTGAAAGAACATTAAAATTATTAGAGTACGATGAGGCATGCAAAAGAATATGACTAGAATGGCATGCATCACCTAGCAAGCACACTGCAGGGCGAACCCTGCCTCCGCAGCAACAGAGCGACTTGCCAATGCTGCAGCAGAGCGATCTGCTAGCATTGCATTACACGCGCTCTGCC